TAGAAATTTTTTCTCTTTGTCATGACTGGAACACATTTGTGGCCAGTCTATGTGAGGGTAGTTGAAGATGCCTGTAGCTACAATATCTCCCTTTTTAGATGCTTCCTTGATTTCATTCATCACCTCAAGGTCTCCTTGAGCATATCCCTTCTCTGGATATTTACCGAAGCCTGAGTATGAGCCTTCTAAAGCCATCTTATTTGTACTGGAATTTGGAAACATGGATTAGTGCTAAAGTGGCTAAAGTGTTAACTGTTAATACTGTACTCCATATCTCTTTGGCAAAGCTGTATTGCTGCCAAGCATATCCACAGGTGAGTGGATCATACATCAGGTTCCAATGGGACAAACTAGCCCTCAAGGACCTGTGATGGAGATGACCAGAAGGGTCCATGTTGTGTCCATGTTGTCCCAGTTGCATGATGAAGGAAGCCTTGTAGGTTTCATCTTGGGAAATACAAAGGCTAGAGGAGTTCACCTCAACAAAAACTGAAGCCACATCAAGTGGAAATTGCCTGCAATGAAACTGGCTCCAAGTATATTGGCAGCTGCCCCTCTAGATTCAGCCTCTAAGGTCAGAACTAAACCCTAGCCACCCTCACTCAGATCACAGGCAGGCTTGAATCTCTAAATAATTCTCTGAGTTTCGGAAGCAAACTACATAAGGAAGTGTGGCGTCTCAGTGTGACTCAGTGTGACTCAGTGGGGTGCTTCAAAGTGCTGCCAACATTGATTTCATTTGATATAGAATCTGTAACTCTATTTCTACACAATATAGAAATAGATTGCTGCCTCTTCCAGGGATTCCAGGATGGAGTCAACTAAACCCCTAAGTGTTTAAACAATTCTTGTGAGGGTGGGTGCAATTTACCCCACACCTGGCTCTGCTGGGGAGGGGGGGCTTATCTCTCGAAATATTTGCTTTGTCAGACCAGAGGATGAAGCCCAAACTCACTCAGGAGTCCTCTTTTTGTAAGAAGGCCCTCAGGCTGTAGATGGAAACATTTTTTCCACCCTCAGCCATGCTTAGCAGAAATCTTAGTGCCCCAGATATGTACAGAGATAACTTCACCCATAGTGAAAGTTAAGCAGTCTAGGCATTCAAGGTCCATCATTCTGCAATAAAGTTGCCCAGCAGGGATTGCAGGAGAAGAGTAAATTTCCTCTTCCCTGAAAACTACAAGATGAAGTAGTTTAATATTGCTCACATTTGAGACTGTAATTGCAACAAGTAACTGCACTTCAAAAGACTGCTGTAGAATGCTTTGTTTGAACTGCAGCTCAGGGGCGCTCAAGCCATACCCTCAAAGCCACCCCACCCCACCTCCAAAATTGTCCTGATGTAGCAAAATAAAAAGGCAGGTTTCCATTTTGGACTATTAAAGAACAATTTTATTGGTATAAATCAAACATTGTGTAATAAACTTCTGACTTGTTTGAAAAGAATTCTTCATGCACTGCATGTATTGTTCAAAAGGCAATAAGCTATAATTCAAACAAAAAATACTAGCAATTTTTCTTTCTGTGATTCTGGCAGACTTGTCAACACAGTTTCCATGCATACAGGAAAAAATGTATCTTTCGAGAAAGATTATTCCCACCTGTGCATTATCTTAAATGGGCCTCTCAGACTGAACTGTTCAACAAAGAACTTACTGCTCACACAGGCCAATCTTAAGAAAAATGAGTGTGGAGTTACAAATGTCTAAATCTGCAGTGCCTGTTACAAACACACATTGACAAACACAGAGCAAATATCTTGAGCTGAAGACTCATGGCTGCCTTGAGTTCAGATTCTGCCTGCCATTCTACTGGTTTATATCCCATATCTAGGACATTCCTGGAGCAAGATTGTAACCTAGGGATTCTCTTCAGTTTTCCCCACAGCCCAGAACTGCACTCGCATGCAACTACTGACAACATGATCAGACAGCAGCTAGTGGGCAGAATTCTACCCATGGCCTTTTCACTTGCCTTTGATTCCCCACTAGCCATACAAAGAGGCTGCAGTACTGGTGAAAAGCAAGTGCCGGGCCATCCTACTTGCCCCTGCAAGCACAGAGAGACTCAGGCTAGTGCTTCACCTCTTTTTCTCTTCCATCCTCCACCTGTTGGCTTCTGCGTGGTCTGAGCTACCTATGCCCTGGGATCCAGTACCAGTGTTATCCTACATAGTGTACTGGCAGACAGAGCTCTGGTGCTTTGTGGCCCCCCAGCTACCCTTACTTGCCTACAGCCAATTCAGCTGCAACTTAAAATCCTTAAATGTGTGGAGAAAAACGCAGTGCATACCCCAAATTGTAGGTGCACACAGCTAAAGAGGAAGCAACATATATGACAAATCAACAGGAGGAAAATATGACCAGTTACACTATCTGTAGTAGTGATTATTTGCTGAAGTTTAATTTTACTGTTTACTATTAGATTCTAATGAATTATTGAGTATTGCTTTATTTGATATAAGTTGTTTATTTTAAAGTTATTACGACTTTTTAAATTGGATCAGATTGTTATTATTAATGCCTGGTGTTTTATATGTGTTGCAAGCTGCCCAGAGTTGCTGGGGCAACCCAGCCAGATGGGTGGGATGTAAATAAAAAATATTATTTTCATGATGATGATGATGAAGGGGGCTCCATCTTCTGGTAGACACCTGAGGGCAGGACTGCCAGTAGGTCAGACGTGCCTCTTTAAGAAAATGCTGATATTGGTCCTCTGTTTCAAGTGAACCATCTTCCTGCATTCCCACCCCAATGTTCTATCAATGCAATTTCAGAATGTGAAGACTTTGTGTTCAAGATCCCTTTTGCCTTTAAAATTAGCCATGCTTGGTGAAGCAGAGCAGTAAAAGCTTGGCCATCTTTGAAAATTCATAATTGCCTCCTCCCACAGATATTGCACTGACATCCATCCACATAAGTTGCTAGCAGAAAGGAAGATAACATAGCCTTCCCCCCTAAGCCTGGTAGATTGCAAGGTCCTTGTGGGAGAACAAATGCATCCATTCTGCTAGGAGTTTCAAGGATGCCCCTTTAGGGGCTGCAGAACTGCCTATCCAGCTTTGCCCCATTAAAAAAATTGTGTTAGCAGAGCTCTGTGCATGCCTGGTTTTCACAAGAGCTCAGGGAAAAAGCGTGGAATGTATTACTGGATACAGAATTTGGTATCCTGAAATAATCACCTTTATTTTATTTTTATTTTTATTTATTTTTTAAAAAAGACCCAGTCTTTATGGCTTTGAAGATACACTCAAAAGTGTGTGGGAAATGTGCATGACATCCTGGGGCAGCTTGGGAGAAATGCTAAATGCAGTACTGGGTGCAGAATTTGGCTTCCTGAGGTGCTTGGCTTTCTTTTGTGAAAAGGCAAGTTTTCAGCCCTTATGATTATGAAGATATGGTTGAAAATGTGAAATGCCAGTTGAAATACCAGAAGCCAAAGGGGTGGCTGGAGAAGAATTCCAGCAGCTGGGATGAGAGCTTCAGGGCCCTGCACAGTCCTGCCCTCCCTGTGACAAGCAAGACCAGAATATAGTATGCAGAACTGTAAACACTACAATATTAAAAAAAAAAAAATTATGAAAATGTGCATAATTTGTGCAGATCACACTTTCCTTAGTGCAGAATTTGGATTGTCTGTGTGCACAATTAAGTATACACTGCCCTGATTCCCCAGATCACTGTTCTTTTTGACAGTTCATGGGAATTAAACTCACAAGATAATACGGTCCCTCCTTAAGCAAATGCACTCCTACATCCAACCAGTGAGCTGGACCCTCAAATCTCTTGGCTGTCCAGTTTGTGTCTTATTTCCCCTACCAAAGCCCCCATGATGAAATAAGAGAGATAGTTGCAGGGCAGGAAGATAAAAGTAGTAAGATTCTTGCTTCATCTTTGTTCCAAACCTCAGTCATGTGTAAGCTTCGTTCTAAATAAAACAAAACCTTTTTAGAACCCAATTCTTTCCAACCACAAGGTTAATGTCAGTTGAAAAGACTTCCTGTCCAAACCTGGCATGCTTTGCTTTACATCCTAGTGAGTGTGATCAAAAAAATAAACCACTTAATTTTGCTATCTCTCGGTGAAATATTAAACACTGCAGCTGGATTGGTTTTTGCATGCTGGGCGTTACCCCCATTCCCAATAAGAAATTATTCACACTTTCTAGAGCAGTAAAACCTCCTTCTGGATGAGAGCATAAATCCCTATTACTTTAAACTCAAGCATTTTCTTAGGTTTCTGTGATTTTCCATTGCAGCTATTTTGATGTGCTAACAGGATGAGAAACACACAAAAGTGCACCTGATATATTCACACATACCAAGAAGAAGAAAACTACACATTTTACAAAATGGAGCTCTTGCACAAAGACCTGTTGAAGTGTGCGGGGCATGGCTGTTTTGACTTGTAGACACACATTCTCTAAAGCAGGAGGAGGAGACCCGTGCCCTCCACCAATGTTGTTGGTCTCCATTAACCTCAGGTAGCATGGCCAATGGCCGGGGATTATGGTAGTTGCAATCCAACAACATCTGGAGGGCCACAGGTGTCCCATCCCTGCTCTATACCCTTCCCCCTGCCACCGCCTGAGACATTCCTGTTCTACAACAGAAGACAAGTTTTTCACTTAACATCAAAGTACCATGTGCTGTTTCCTGCTTAGAGCCCTCACCAGACCTGACAAATGAAACAGGAAGAATCTACATTCTTTTAGTTTCCTTTTCATCAATTCTCTCATGTCAAAAGCTACTAACCACTCGCTGTCCAGTGGCACTTATTTCAGTTTAATCACAAATTACAGCTGCTGTTGGTGACATAGCATCACAGTCTTTCACAGATCATCAAACTTTCAGGGAAGGCAGCTTGCACAGAAGACTTCTCAGCCACTTTACTAGGCAGAACAGTGAAGGTGACAAAGTCCAGAAATCTCAGCCTTGCTTCACCAGCACCACGGACAGCACCCTGTCCTCTTCTGCGCCCACTACTGACCAAGAGCAAGCATTATTTCAAGTTATTGTTAATAACCATGTTGTCATGTATATCACAATATGTGGTCATTTTCTTCCTCTTTCCAAAAGTAGAGAAGCTGTTTTTGGCTTCCTGATCCAGAAACAGAGGCCCATCCTTATTGGCAGGCATAGTAGGGGTCCCCGGAATATACACGTTGTGCTGGTAATCCAGAGGGGACATGTGCTGTGAGTACACAGGAGCATACCGAGGTGTCCAGATGCTGTTTGAGGCACCAGGTGCCTTCTGGAGCTCTGTGAAAAGGGAAAATGTTATCTATTGACAGAAAGAAAATCTCAGGGGGATCACAGCACATCAAACATAGTCCCATTCATGAGATATGCTCCATCCAGTTCCCAATAGCATATCTGAGCTTCCATATGAAGTGTCTAAGTCAGCAAAATAAAATCTTGAAGGGCTGGGACTGAACCACCCCTACAAATCTACACACCATAGCTTAGTTCAACTAGTAAAACAAAATAAATGTAAATATGGCAAGAATTGAGCACTCCAAAGGAGTATGGGAGTTAAACATTTGATGGACGTATACCAACAGCTCTTAATATACTATTCTAGGAATCCAAGGATCAAAACTCACCAGAGACTGGAGTGACCAAAGTGCGCAACCTGTCATGTTCCTTCTGGATTCCTCGACGAACTCCCCCTACATCCTCTAGGCTCTGTGAACTAAAAAAGAGGAGCAAATAAACAGAGTTATCCAAGATTAGGGTAAGAACACCTAACATGCTCCATAGCCATTGCTTTATGACTAAATGACCCAGACCAACACCAGTACCTCTTCAATGTTGATTGCTTAGATGGCAACCAGTCTGTATTGGGTTGTTTCACCTGCAAATGAGAAAAAGCAGATGTTGAGTAGAATGTCTGCCTTCATTACACTTGACCAATGGATGCTGTTCTGCCAGCCTTTTGTGTTTTCAATAGGCATAGCAGCTAGCAGTGTTTTACAGCAGGGTCATAAAACATAAGGCACAGAGGCCTAATTAGGCCCCCTCAGGGTCTTCCGTACACACTTCAGGCAAATTATTTAACTACTTTCAGCACCAAGAAGCCATGACTTTAATAGAGCAAAGATGCAAATTCATAATGGCAGCTACTTCCCATACACAAGGCTAATCCTGCATAATTCCCTCTAAAATAATGCAGTGGGGCTATGAGAAGAACAGAACAGATAAAGCATTGTACAGAGAAGAGCAAGGACTTTGATATTTGCCAGCATTGGCAGGTGGTGGCAGTGGTAGCAACCATGTTGGAGCCATCAGTGGAGGAGATGTGAACATCTTGGTGCTTGGGCTGGCAGGATTCGGAAACTTGCTTGGTCAGGTGTGACAATTTTGTGGGTAGTCAGTGGCGTGTGGGAATGGGGGGGGGGGGTTCGTGGCAGGGAGCAGAGAGTTGCAGAAGGATGCTTGGGACTAAGAGGATAACTGGAAGAAAGAGAATGGCAGTGGGACATGTCAGGCTATATGGTGTGGCAGGAGGGAAGTGTCCCTTGGGCAGAAAGGAAGGAGGCTGGGCTGCCCTCTGGTCCTCCAAAAGCCACTGTCATTTTCAGGGTCCATGAACCAGACTGCACCTGGTTTGGAAGCAGGGGCCTGATTTCCATGAGTCCCAGTCAGGGAGTTCTACAAAGTTGTACAAGGCCCTGGGTTGGTACTTGCATGCAAATTCATCCCCTCTTGCCTGCAGCAGGAAGTCATGAATTGCTGTATGTGAGAACCTGACTCATCCCTGATCCACAGAAAGGACTTTTGTAACACCTTACAGGACCACGGACACCACGGTGTCTGTTCAGCAAACTCGGCTGCGATCCTTCAAGTGTTAAGTAATGCAAAGTCAAGGAATCAAGCGATGTGTTTGCATGGAAGGACCAGCCGACCTACAAGTGAAAGCTACTGAGAAAGTGCTCCTTTGGGTACTTCTTTCCTGTTTTCAAACGCAGAGATTTTAAAAAATGGGGCCCTCAGCTTGAATATCACATAGCAGAACCTGACTTCCTTGGGCTCCTCTCAGTCAGCCGCTGTTAATCAGAAAGATTTGGTCGAGGGGGTCTTTTCTCGCCCGAAGGGAAAGGAAGGGAAGCCGCGTCTCTGCCCCCCCCCCCGCGCCTCTTCTTTGGGGTTTCTGCCGTGCCTGAGATCAGTTGCGGAAGACCCTTTCCGGGAGGCGCCGCTTAGAGCCCCTCCGCCGGGGCTGCGCTCCTTCCCACAGCTGGGCGACGAGGCCCCCCCAGCCAGAGAGCCCCGAGCTCCTTCCCAAGAGGCCCCCTCATTGGTATTCTGCGTTTTCTCGGGCGCGCTCCGACTTGGCTTTTGCCGAAGTGGGTTTTTTTAATCTCGGTGTCAGACTCGCTGGATTGTGAAATGGAAGCGCCGCTCGCTTCGGCTTACTTTGAAAATCCCCAATTATTGTCCTATTGTTATGCGCTTTGACTTAATATGCCTGCCTCGTTAGCATGGGGGTCACGTACTGGGTGCGGGAGGAGGAAGCCTCCCTCGCTCCCTGCCTGCCAATGTGACACCCTGGATGGATGGAGAGGCCTCGCCAAGTGGGTCAGGGGCGCTGCGCCCCGGGAGGAGATGAACCAGGAGGCGCCTGGATTGGGAAAGAGCGGGGAGGGGAGGGCGAGGCAGGCAGGGGCGACTTCGGGGACCAAGCTCCATGGTCCTCCCTCCTTGAAATGAGTCCTGCGGGGGGATTCATCCCTGTCACCTCTTTTCCGCGAGGGGGCTTTGGAGAATGGTGACCCGGCCTCGGAACCTTCCGAGATCGCCTGCCCTCTCTGAAGCACAAAGGCCTCGAGGGAGCTTCTCGCCCATCTGCGCTACTCATGTGCCCTGCAAGGGAGTCAGCAGGTTGAGAAACGGGGAAGGGCAAGTCCCCCTGGCCTCTTGCTGGGAGATCCTGCTGCGTGGGCCTCTTCCTCCCCTGTAAAATGCCAACCTTTAACTCAAGAGGAATGAATGAATGAATGCAATCCTTCATGCCCTAAATATCCCCGGAGATGCTCCCAATACGTTTTCATGCCATCTCTTCTGAGAGACCACGGCCTGCTTGTCTCTCTGTCTGTCTCTGTCTTGCTGTTGGAGCCTTCCGGTGAGAGGTTTATCACCCTCCCCCTCCCCCGCAGCGCCAGCCGCCTCCCTCCCCGTAGCGAGGTAGCTTTTGTGGCCTTGCTGCTCTCTCCTTGGTCCGCCCGAGGCGGAGAGGTGTGGAAATCAGCTCCGTACATCAAGTCACTAGGGGGAGTTTGTAACTGACTAGAGGAAAATCGCATTAACATATTAGACAACTGTGTCCAACGATCCAAGCGAAAATGTGAAAAAGGAAGACGACCTGTCTGCAGAATGACTTGTGCTCGTTTAAAAAGGGCTGTATGGTTAAAAGTGGTTTTCAAATGTTTGTAAGTGGATTATGCTTTTCATCCTCGTCCATCCTGGGTAATCGCGTTATTGAAATAGTATTTCATCGGAAAAAATTAGACGTTATTCATTTATATGCTTAACAAATGTTGACATAAAAATCTCTTTCTATCTGTCAAGGGTTTTTTCTTTCCCCCCGCCCCCTCCCCGCAGCAGCCAGCCTATTCTGTTCTTTTTTACACCAGCCCAGTGATCCGCTCTTTGAAACAGCAAGGCGTTCGTCTCCCCCCACGAAGCGCCTCCACCTCCCTCCGCTCGCCTGCCACCGACAAGAGCTCAGCATCAATTTCAAGAGGTGCCAGGAGGGCGGAGGGGTCCTCAGCAAATGGGATCGTGGCAAAGGTAAGGAGGCGCCTCTGAAGGAGCCAAACGCAGCACCAGGCAGGGCTGGTCCTTCCCAGGCAGAAAGATCTGTCAAGCCCAACGCTGCTTCTGCAGCAGCAGCAGCAGAGTGCCGCCTTAACCCCTTCCTTCCCCCACAGGGATCGAGCGAGGGGCGCTCATTCTGGGGCACCACGCACGGGGAAATTCTCCTGCTCACACCCATTGAAAAGAATGGGACCTGGTCATTTATTTCAAGGAGGTTTGAGCAGGAAAGCCGCCTGGTGGATTGCTCCCCTGACAGGAGAAAGAATAAGCTAGAGCCCCTTATGGGGAGTTATAGGCGCGGTGCATTTACCACATGACCACGGTTCCATCACTGCGATGTCCTGGGCCCGTCTCTGCAGCCCTTCTCTTCTCTGATATGGAATGTGATGTGTGTGTCGTGCGTGGGTGCGTAAGAAAGAGAGGGAGGGAGGGAGGGAGGGGAGAGCTTGTGCACGCTTATTCCGAAGAAAACCCCAGGGAATTCAGTGTGACTTCCCCCCAAGTAAGTGAGTGGAGGCTGGTTGCTCGCCTCCACCTGATTCTCTCAGCCAGAGGGAGGGAGTGAAGGTGGTTGACCCCTTGCCTTTACGGTGAGCTGCGCTGCCTGGCCAGGGACCCCCACGCCAACCTCGCGCCTTTCCCGCGGGCTGGGAGAAAGACCTCGAGTGGGAGGCAGCCAGGGAGAGAGGGAGGGGCAGAGACAGGCAGGCAGCAGCAGCGAGACGAGCCGCGGGGCCGTCAGGCGAGGGGAGCTGTCATCTCTTTCGACAGAGCCGGTCCCAGATTCCTCGGCGCGCTCCTCGTCTCAGCCTTAATGGGCGCTCGAGTATCACTTCTGAGCGCTTTCCGCTCGTCCCACTAATTTAAAACGAGCCTGACGTTTTGAAAATAATTAACTAAAACGGCAAGAAGCCTGGTGGAGAATTTTTTGCTGTCTGATGGTTACTAATGTCGACGCTGCCACTTGATCAAAGGGCCGGGTAATTATCTTTAAAAAGTTGCTCAGGAATGAAAAGATTTCGCCCTGCGCGGATTTATTTTTTTGAAGACTGGGGCGGGCGGCGGGGGGGGGCGTGTAGAGTTGCCTAATCATTTTCGAGGGACTTTCCGGACACTTTTTGGCACAGCTCCCCCCTCCCTCCCCAGAGGTTACCTGGCTGGAGGGCTGCAGAGAATTATTGGCCAAGCGGGGCGTCTTTCCCTGAGCTGGTGGCAAGTTGTCCGGGACTTTCTCGTTGTTCCTGGGAGCGGCCGGACTGTAGGGCTTCAGGAACATGAAGTCGCTCTTGGCCGACTCCGGGGTGAGGCAGACCTTGTAGCAATAGCCCGGAGGGCCGCCCACGGCCGCCCCCTCCCCGCAGTTGGTGGCCCCTTTGTTGCCCGAGGGGACCTGGGAGTTGTGGATGTGGTTGGAGTTCTTGAAGATGTCCGTCGGGGGCCCCGAGGGGTCGCAGGAGCAGCAGCTGCCGCCGCCTCCGCCGCCTCCGCAGGGCGGGAGCGAGCAGCCGTAGTCCTGCAGGGTGAGCCGGTCCTTGTGGCACTTGACGGCCGTGAGGATGACGATGGCTACCAGGAAGGTGAAGGAGACGGAGCCCAGGGACACGATCAGGTAGAGGGTTAGCGTGGAAGAGGCGGACTCGGGCCCCAGCGGGAACTCGCTGAAGTCCGACAGCACCTCGGGCACGCTGTCCACCACGGAGAGGAGCAGCGACACCGAGGCCGAGAGCGGCGGCTGCCCGTTGTCGCGCACCTGCACCAGAAGGCGGTGCCTGGGCGCGTCCTTCTCCAGGAAGGCGCGGATGGTGCGGATCTCGCCGGTGTACAAGGCAACGCTGAAGAGGCTGCTGTCCGTCGCCTGCACAATCTGGTAGGAGAGCCGCGAGTTCTGGCCGGCGTCCGCGTCGACGGCGGAGACCTTCCCCACCAGGTAGCCCGGGTCTGCCGAGCGAGGCACCACCTCCACGGCCAGCGAGCCGTTGCGGGGCACGGGCGCCACGATGACCGGCGCGTTGTCGTTCTGGTCCAGCACGAAGACGTGGACGGTGACATTGCTGCTGAGCGGGGGGAAGCCGGCGTCCTGGGCCAGCACTTGGATCTGGAAGTTGCGGATCTGCTCGTAGTCCAGCGAGCGCAGCGCGTACATGTGCCCGCTGTCCGAGTTGATGGAGACGTAGGTGGCCACGGGCATGCCCTGGATCTGCCCGTCGGCGATGGAGTAGGACAGGTAGGAGTTCTGCTTGCAGTCCGGGTCCAGGGCGCTGACCGAGCAAATGGACGCCCCGGGCGCGTTGTTCTCCATCACGTAGACGCTGTAGGAGGGCTGCAGGAAGCGCGGCGCGTTGTCGTTGATGTCCGACACATGGACGGTCAGCGTCTTCCTGGTGGCCAGCGCTGGGCTGCCCCGATCTCGAGCCGTGATGCTGATGTTGTACTCAGGCACAGCCTCGCGGTCCAGGGGGTCGGTGGTCACCAGGGTGTAGTAGTTGTGGAAGGAGGACTGCAGCTGGAAGGGCACGTCCGGCGGGATCTCGCAGCTCACCTTGCCATTGTCCCCGGAGTCTCTGTCCAGCACGCTGATCACGGCGATGACGGTGCCAGGAGGCGCGTCCTCCAGGACGGGCGTGGAGACCGAGGTGAGGGTCACCTCGGGCGCGTTGTCGTTGACATCCACGAGATGCACCAAGACCCGGCAATGGACCGCGACGGCGGAGGGGCCGCGGTCCTTGGCCTGCACGTAGAGCTCGTGCAGGTTGGCTCGCTCATAGTCCAGCTGACCCTTCAGGCGCACCTGCCCGCTGCGGGGCTCCACGCTGAAGAGCTCTCGGACCCTCGGCGGAGCGTGCCCGCTGAAGGAGTACTCCACCTCGCCGTTGGTGCCCTCGTCCAAGTCGGTGGCGTTCAGCCTGATGACCAGAGTCCCCTTGGGCGCGTCTTCCGGAAGACTCACCGTGTAGGAGGACTGATCGAAGACGGGCACGTTGTCGTTGGCGTCCAGCACCGTGACCACGACCCGAGCCGTGCCGGAGCGCTCGGGGATGCCGCCATCCAAAGCTGTCAGCAAGACCCGGTGGCTGCGCTGCTGCTCGCGGTCCAGGCTTCTCTCCAGCACCAGCTCGGCGAACTTGCTGCCATCGCTGCGGGTCTGCACCTCCAGCGAGAAAAAACCGTTGGGGCTGAGCCGGTAAGTGCGCAGGGAGTTGGTGCCCACGTCCGGGTCCTGCGCGCTCTCCAGGGGGAAGCGGGCGCCGGGCAGCGCCGACTCCGTCACCTCCAGCACATACTCTTGCCAGGGGAAGCTGGGCGCGTTGTCGTTGATGTCCAGCACCTCCACCTCGACGCGGTACAGCTCCAGCGGGCTCTCGATGACCAGCTGCAGGTGCAAGAGGCAGGCCCCGCTGGCCTCGCACACTTCCTCGCGATCGATCTTCTCGTTGACGAAGAGGATCCCGTTCTCCAGGTTCACCTCCAAGTGCTGCTTGCTGCCCGCCCGGGACACAATGCGAAACCGCCTGGCCGACAGCTTAGACACATCCAGCCCCAGATCCTCGGCGATGTTGGCCACGAAGGCTCCGTGCTCCAGTTCCTCGGGCACCGAGTAGTGCAGCTGGCTCGCTGCTGGCGCCGGAGCCAGAGCCAGAGCCAAGCAAGAAGTTAGCAGGAGCAACAGCTCCAGCCTCGCGCAACTCCCAGCGCAGCCTGCCAGCCTCGGGCCGAGCCGGGGCCCCCCTGAACCCCTCACCCAGCGGGGAGTCCCGCCGCCTCCATCGGGGGAAGGCATCGGTGGGCTCAGCGCGGACGCGGCAGAGCACTGGCGCCGCCGCAGCTGCAGCCTCCGCTCCCGCCCTTGTGCGTCTTCATCATCAATGGACTTGGACTTCCAACTACTTTCGGCTGGCAGGGGGAGCCGGCAAGGGAGGACCCGCCTGCCATTTCAGCACCGCATTGGTGGACAGCGCCGTCGAGCCCGAGCCCGAGCGGCTGCGACGAGGACGGGCGGAATGGTTAACCCTTTCGTAGCCGGCGGAAGCGACGTGGGGAGGGGAGAGAGAGAAAGAGAGAGTGTGTGTGTTTTAATTCTTATACCCAGGAGGCTGCAATCATTTCCATGCGAGAAAAGGTCAGGTACCTTCCCAGCGTGGCGCGGTGTATTATCAGCAAAGCGAGGATAGCTTAGAAGTCCCCGATGAAACAAATTGGCTGTGGCGGAGAATTTGTGGATCCTGAAGAGCAGCAACCCTAGTTGGCGCCGAAGCTGGTCTCGCTCGCTGTCGCTGGAAGGGAGGACCCTGCTCTCTCCGGGTGTCTCAGCTTCGATCTCGTCCCAGAGAAAGAAAGTTCATTCCGCTCGGGGATGGCAGGAATCCCCTCTCTTCCCGCCCGCAGCATCTCCGGGGTAGATTAAAGAGCCCTCAAACACATCGAAAGCCAAATCCTCCCTATCCTGACATCAGACTCCGCGCATGGATTTAACCTTTAACAGATGGTTAAGCTTCTACAGAATTGATTACATTTTCCTGCACACCGTTTTCCTTGTAATGCTGCTTTGTTTTTGTTTGTTTTTTAATTACCAGAGAAGAGGATTACATCCCAGACTGCCGGATCAAGGCTGATTCTATCAGCGCAGAGTCATGGAGAAAGCGCCCGCCCTCCCCCCCGCCAACACGCCTCCTCCTCGCTCTCGGGCCGCCGGAGTTCCCAAGTGCCTCTAATGCCGCCGACTCCGACGGCGAGAGCAGAAACAGCGAAAAGCGCCTGGAGGAAGGAGGCTCCACCGTGTGGCTGCTCTACAGGTTTTACATTAACCTTTCCGCAGCAGAGTGGTCCAGGCAGGCTGACACGCCAGCCACAGGCGTAGGTGGGAGGCTGAAATAAATTGACTGCAGTCCGCTGCTCAGGACCAGCTCTGCGTGTCGACTGATTCTGCTCCGGTTTGCGCGGCAGGTGGGGGAGTCCTCCTCCTCCTTCTGCTTTTTGCCTCCCGGTTGTTTCCCTGATGTAGGTACAATTACGCGGCGTGCAGAGATAAGACTTCTGTCCACAGCCTAACCACGAGGCGTCGTTCCTGCGGATTTACGCCCCTTGGAAAACAGCGGGGCTCAACTGGTTTACACCGTGCTACAGAACTTCAGCCGAATTGTGGTCTCCCGCGTGACAAGGAAGGAGGGATGGCAGCTCTTGCCTCACCTTCCTCTCTATATCAAAACGAATGGTCTTTTCAGGCCCAATTCCAACACGTTTGCAAATAAAGTCCCGACGACCTAAATGGGACTTATGTCGCAGGGCAAGAAACCCGTCGAGGGTCCAGGCGGCGCTCCCCTTCGCTTCCATCGTCCCATTTGATTGGTTTTCTGATGGCCTGGCTTCTCCGAGGGCCACCCGCACTGAGTCCTCTCCATCAGGTTCTCTGTCCCGCGCTAAACGCGAGGTTTCTCCAGCAGCATCTCCAACCGAGCATCTCGGGTCTCCTCCGGGCAGGAGGCTGCTCGCATATCCCCACTAGTCCCAGTTCAGGCAGATGAGGACGGCCACAGGCTTCTCCCGACGTTCCTTAGGGGGTGTTGCGGAAGCCCACGGAGCCCTCCGAGCAAAATCTCCCCGAGCTCGGCTTGATTAAAGGCGGCGGGGCGAGGGAAGGATAATCTGATAACAATCTACTTAAGGGATTTGGAAGAGGCGCAGATTTCAGAGGAGATTGAGCCCTGCGCTGATACTGAGCAGAACACAGATCCGGCGAGAGGCAGCCAGCCGCTCTCCTCTGCTCGCCGTCTCTCCACACACACAGCACCCCCCCCCCCCGGATCTTCGAGCCTCTGTCCGAGGCCGTCCTTTTTTTGTCCACCCCAGTGAAAATCACTTGCGGGGAGGGGGGGGACTGGGCGAGGATACTATATTGGGCGTCAGGCTCGAAGGTTAAGAAAGGCAAAGGGTTCATCCTAACTCCGAGAAAGGAGGAGAGATTTAGCTATGGGGCAGTCGAGCTATAGGGCAGTCACAGCACACTTCCACTTCGGGGAGGGGGGAGGCTGGGCTAGTCGTAGTGAAGACACCTCTCACTAGATTGATCTTTCCGGTAACCCGAGGCAAGCGGTCAGATGTGTTTCATCAGTGTAGGTTTGCCGACACAAGGCTTTCCACTCACTGGTGCAACACATCCATCTGTTTACACACTGCTCTTTCTCTCTCTTCAAAAGTAAAACACTGGAGACAAACTTAGAAATAAATAAAGTTTATTTCATCCCCCCGCCCTCCTCTAAACACCCGCAAGGCAGTTAAAGAAAAAACAACCCTATCCCCAAACAGCGCGTAATAAAGCACTCTAGCAACTCACTCCAGCTGCATACCGTGGGGAGCCATCCATGAACAGCTAAATTGGCTGCCAGAAATGGAGTTTACCCTTGTTTGATCATACATGCAATTATGAAGCACTTATTCTACACAAGAGGACGAGAGTCTGCACTTACTTTGAGTTTTCACTCTTTTCCGGATTTTGGTGGGGAATATCAGGGTGCTCTTATAGCTCTGCAGAGAAAATAACTCCTAGCCCGGCCCTGCTTCGTTTGCCACACACACACCCACCTACCCACACAATTCCCTGGTTCCCGTGGGCTGCTTCTACCCTCGCTCCCCCATGGGACTTGGAGGTCCCCACCCTGCTCTTCCATCGGAATCCCACGCTGCAGTTCCAGAACTCTCACGCATCGCTTGAGGAGACGGGGCAAAGGATTTAGTCGGCGGCCCTTGGATCTGACCAACTGCCAAGGGTGCAAATGAGCAATGTCTGCTGGTTGTGCGAGAGGGTCATGGAAATACTCAGGGCCTGGGCTCCCGAGGACGGGAAACTGAAGCCCGTTGGAAGGGTTTGGACTACAACTCCCATCACGCCTGGCCATTGGCCACGATGGAAGCTGCTAGTCCAAAGCAGGCTGCCTTTCAAGCCTCTTTAGACCCAGACCCTACATCTAAAGCAGATTTAAAGTCCATGGCTTCAGCCCGCACCCAAGGATCATGGGAACTGTAGTTTGTTATGGATGTTGGGAATTATAGCCCTGTGGGGGTGGGGGTAAACAGTTCCCAGGATTTGTTGGGATGAGGCTACATTAGTTGGGACTAGTAGAGGAGGAAGGCTGAGAATATTCGGTGGAGACTCTTGCTGGGGGTGACGTGGAGGAGAGAAAGGGATGCAGCGGGGGAGGGGCCTCCCTCCGTTTCCCTCCCAGCCCCCTAACTTTCCTCGGCCAGGCCCTCCCCCAGCATTCCAAGTCTGTGGCTGGGGGAAGCGAGCCGCACTCCATGCTCTCCTCCCCTCGGCCAGCCTCTGCCCGTCAAAGGCGATGAATAGCAAAGGGGCCTCGCATGAGTTCCTCTTCACCAGAGCCAATGCACGTCTGGGGGTTAGTAGTAGCTCTGCATCCGGCATGCAGAAAGTCACAGGTCTGGTCCCAGATTTCTCCAGTCAGGGCTGGAAAATGCTCCTGGTCTTAAACCCTAGAGAACCACTGCTGGCCAGAGTGGACAGTGCCATGGGCATATGCAGGATTTGGGGGGGGGGCAGGACACACCCCCTCATCGTCCTCTGTCTGGCTCTATCTAGCAGATTCAGAAAGAAATGTCTCACCAACAGTTGTTTTAAATTACTTTATTTTGACCCCAAGTGCTCAGAAAAACCTGTCAAAATTTTAAGTCATTTGAAAACTAGGGAGTTAAATGAAAAAATTAACACTAGGGAGTACCTTTCATGTGGTTAACAAGTATATTTTGCAAAATTACAAAGAACACACCCTTTTTCTTCTTATTTTTTAAAAAATCTAAACTAAGTTTTCTTGGATTTGCTGAAAACCTTTTCAGCCCTTCCCCTCGCCCTCAAAGGTCCCGGAGCAGAACTGCCTCAGACTCACCTGGCAGGAAGGTCTAACACGGCACAAAGCTGTCCTGCTGGAGAAGTGCAAGAGGGCCAGTCCGCCAGCCAGCCTGCCTGCCCCCCTGCCGCCTTTGCCATTTGCGGGGCTGGGAGTGTGGCTCCTGGCGGGCAACAACTTGTCCTTCTCTGCAATTGCAAAGGCCGCTTTCGGAGCCTCTCCTACAGTCAAGGGGGTTTCTTCCTGAGCGCTGGCCTTCCCTGCTCCCAGGTTCCCTCTCTGCCTGTCCCCGGCCTTCTTCCTGGGCTCTTGGCCCTTCTGTTGCCAGAACAGACTTCCGCTTGGCTGCTCTTCGATGACTTGCCTGGTCTAGGCCTAGGCTCCTGCAAATCCTTCTGACAACCCCCTTTTTCTCTTTTTGGTGAGAGCCAGGGCCATCTTAAGTATATCCGGCGCCATGGTGCAAAGATCCCTCTGGCAAACCCCCCCCCCATTTCCCAGAGTTGCCAACCTTTTTACGGCACTGCCAGCAGTTTTGCGGGGCTGGAGGAGGTGGGCAACTGCTGGAGGGCAGCTCCTCCGGCGGGGAAGAGGCAGGGGCTCAGGGCGCAGCGCTGCTTCAGTGAGGCAGGTGAGGGCAGCAAACTGATGCCTGGAGGTGCCGTGCCATGCCCAGGCTCCTCCTCTTCCCTGGCGCCCGTGCCGTGGTGGCCATGGCAGCTGGAGGCTCCAGGCGCGGCGCTGCTTCGGCATGGCATGGTGGAGGCGGGCGAGGGCAGCAAGCTGATGCCAATAGGTGCCACGTCCAGCCTCCGCCTCTTCCCTGGCACCCTCCAGAACTTGGCACCCTGGTGTCCTGCGCCACTTGCCTCTATGGTCAAGAAGCCCCTGGTGGGAGCCAAAATGGGAAGAGTTGCTGGCA